GTATTTAAATTTAATCATTTATTTGTTAATATGCAGTGACAAAGTAATGCAAATCAGTATTCATGCATGATTCGTATGTTTGAATTCATTTTTGAAAATCTTCCTTGTTATTTTTGTTTAAGGGAATTAACCGACATACCACCTCCATGTACGAGTGATCCTAGCTCTTAGCATGTCAAAAGCACTAAAATGCACGAGCGGTCTCCAATTTGTCCCTTGTGCCACTTAAGGTGGCTCAAAACAGTTTCCAGCAGTTTCCAAGGCTTAGATTTTCATGAGTTATCATAAACACTCTTTATCAATTGATGCTACAATTATGGTATCAAAAAAACTACTCAATCATTGGTGAACACGGTGTTATCATTTTTGTGACACAACAGGTTACCATAGCAACAGTATGACCTGCTAAAATACCCTTAATTATAGCTTCAAGGGCTTGTAGTTCAAAAACGGCAATGTAATAACGTTAATTATGAGTTAGAGGGACACAAAAGAATATTATATATATTTTTTTGTGAAACTGGATCATGTCGCACTAGAAAGGGGAACGAAAATCAGGGTTGGCTTTACTCCATAATCAGTGCATGGTTGTTTCTTTTTCTTACAGCTTACTTCATCAACGGGATAAGTTGCGAAGAGTTAATTTGCGAAGAGAGCGAAAATCAAAACTCTCCAATTCCGCCGATCGACGAATAAAGTGTATTAATGAAAATGCATAAGAGAGTCTGCTATGCTACACCAAAAGTATGATTGGCTGAAAATGGGAGAATTATATGGAATAAAGCAATACTTTAAAGGGTCACAATAGTCAATTTAATTGTATTTTGCGTTATAACGCATCCATAGATCAGAGTAAACAAAAGGTGCGAAAATAGCTGAATTCCACGGATTCAATGGATTTAAAAGAAAGCAATGTTAAGACTCAGTTATTGTCTATTATTCTGAGCAATTTCTTCGTATTGGGCTCCGTCGCTGTGCGACTCCGCCGAATACGAATATAATTTCTATATTATGTTTTTATTCCAGCTAGCCGCCAATATATAGAGGATATTACACGTTGGCGAGAAGATATTAATTTTATGTTCGACTGACAAGAACATAAAACGAGGACATAAAATTCATATCTTCGAGCTAACGTGTAATGTACTTTTTATCATATAGACATACTGATGACGGCGTTTTTGGCGATTTTCCGAAGATTTCCGAACACTTTCCGAAGATTTCCGAAAGTTCTCCTAAACTTGTCCGAAGGTCACACTAACGTTGCCGAACATTTTTCGAAAATTTCCGAACATTTCCGTAGATTACCGATGATTGCCGAACACTTTCGAGGAAGACCCGAAGACGTTTTGATCATACACCTACGAATTTAAGTACAATTTAAGGGACAATCTTGATGTCAGTGAAATCATCGATATCTTCACTAGTGAGGATATGGAAAATACACCACCCGAGTCCCGGATGTAGTTTTCGCATGAATTTTACGAGTGGTGTATTTTCCAGTAAACCACTCGTGTCTATAAAATATAATGCGGTAATACCCTCTCAAAATCGCATTTAGTTTACAATAATAGATGTACCTAAGATTAAGATCCCTTAGAATATATTTAGAAAATATTAAACAGTAACCAAGCAAACTGCTACAATAAGATTGTACAGAAAATTAAAGTACTTTGAAAAGTTAGTTGTTTCTTGGCAATTTAAACGCTGACAGAGAGTAACTGGGTTTTCAAGTTGAAAATATTTTTTTGGGATTGCTTTTGTATGTGGGAACAGTGGCATTTGTTATCTTTTTTAATATCGTAGTGACTGGTTAATAGTAACACGGAAATCCCAACCAAAGATAATGAACCAAATTATCAAAATAGACAGCGATTTGCAAAATTTATTGATCGCCCATTCTTTGCAACAACAAATTCAATAAAGATAATCCTTTCTTTGATTAATGCTGTTGCTCCTGAGAATTGAGTAGTAGGTTCTTTCAAAGCACACAATAGTTATCCAGGATTATATTATCGATGAGTTCATATTTAATACCTGCTGTTGCTCTCTAATCACTCTGCAGAGAAACGAAAACAAAATGATTTCTAAGTTAGTACAAGTAAGAAAACACCAGTCGTATAGGAGGGGGATCTCGTTTGTGATCAGACATAAGCGACCCTAGCATAGTTCATTAGAACAAACATAAGCGGCCCTAGGATAGTTATTAGTACAACAAATGTACCGAACTTAAGATGGAAATTTTACTAAAGCAAAATTTCCAGAATAAAGTGATCAAGAACAGAGATGCCGTCGGGTGACAACTGCTAACGGACAAACTCGTTAAATATTCACTTCTTAGCATGATTATGTATGTTGCATACCAACGAATCTACATACCGACGCACAACTATTTTACAATAACAACGTGAAAAATTATGTTAATTCACAATGCAGTTTTAATATTTTGCCATATGTTTACTATCCAGCCGTCTCCAACCCGCTTTGTCATCTCGGGCATATTGCACGGCGAGCAAGTTGACTATTGGGTAAGCAAGTGAAAAAAGTGCTGAAAGTAACTTGTATTCTTTTAATAATTTTTTGTTTTCATGATTCAGTTTATATATTGTTTCTTTCATTCTTTGCTTGAAAATTTGTGTACGTTTTACACCCAAGTTAGAGTTTTTTACCCTTCTATGCTGGAATTCTGTCTTTTATCGTTGCTATGCCTGACCTGATACTGTTATTTCGCTGCGTCAGTAATTTGTAAATTTATTTAAATCAAATTAAATGAAAATTTTGCCGGTAGTTAAGAACGTTAACATTTGCGCAAAATGGCCATGAATGCTGATGTACCTGTTGTCCTTGAAGTGGGAGGACAAAAAAAGTGTATCAATTTATTGCCAATTCCTTNAGTTAAGAACGTTAACATTTGCGCAAAATGGCCATGAATGCTGATGTACCTGTTGTCCTTGAAGTGGGAGGACAAAAAAAGTGTATCAATTTATTGCCAATTCCTTTATAATTTGTTGTGGTAAGATCTTTGTTCTCGTGGTTTTTTCTGCAAGGTAATTCCACGATATCAAGATTATAAGTGGATTAAGGGAATTACAGTTCTTGGGAATGCGACTGCACCTGGTAAGCATACAAGCCAATAAAAGGAAAGTCACAGATAGATTGAGTTAACTCATGAGCTAAAAGCATAGATTTGGTTCTTTATCAACTTGGATGTCGTTTTTAAACAATTATTGGATGAGGTTTTTGTGATATCCAGAATAATCAAGGTCGAGGTAACCGAAGCCGAAGGCTGAGGCTGATAACCCTTACTGAGACCTTGATTATTCTGGATATCAAAAAAACCGAATCTAATAATTGTTTTATTATACATTGAACGAAAAAAAAAAGTCATGTTTTTGCTTCATCACTGACCGCAAGCAACACAAAGCGCGCGAACTTCACATGTTTACCCTTAGAAATCATACACCGCGGTCATACATGACGTGATTACCGGTGGCCTTGAGTGTCCTTGACATAATTATTGTATAATCTGCAGCTAGATGATGTCAAAGGGACTGATTTCGAAACTTCACTGTACGCTTTCGACCAATCAGAAAAGAGATAGTGAGTTCAATCTATAATAAT